GTATCGTAACTATAAATCCGTGTTTCGTCAGCTGTCACTACGTCTCACACCAAATTTGACGCCCCTTCGTTGAATCTGATAAGCATGGCATTGCACCAAGTGTTGCGATCCGTTTTTTGAGTTTCAACCAAATTGTGTGGGATCCACGGAGAGCACAGCATTTTCACATGTTGGTGTAGTATGGATTGTATTTGACTCATGTCTGTGCCAAAAGATGCCCAAATCTCATGGTATGTCACATGTCTGTTTGTTTTGATCATAAGGCGCATAGCATCGATTGTTTTCTTGTTCGCAGCAGTAGACGGGCGACCATCACGAAATTCGTCGCCGAGATTCACATGACCGCGTTTGAATTCTGCAAACCAGCTAGTCGTCTTGCATGGTGCTTCATCGCCAAATCGCTTCATCGCCAGTTTCAAGCCGAGGGAAGTTCCGCTGAGCTGTAAGATTACATTTAAAGTCGTAGACAATCATACTACGAAAATTTTCACGAGTTAAATCCATGGTGATGGAGACAACCAATTTCTAAAATGACGCCACAATGTAAAAACAAGTGACAGTCAGATGAAACAACTTGTATTCTGCAGCCAAAGAGTTCCATTTCAAATGTTGTAATTACATTTTAAATATTGTTTATGTAAGTAGCCAGTTCCGGAAACTTATAGTGCGCCCTATGTATAACCAATTAATTTACGAGGATAACAATATACTTTTTCCATCATTAGAACTCGTTTTAGCATTCTATTCCCTTTAATTCAACAGAGCGAGTGGGGCCCCACTTTCCCAAGGATATTGACTATAGAAGGCAACTACGTGGACTAAGTTGACGTATTTGTGCACAAGAGTGAACAATAAAAATTGCTAAAAATCTCTATAAGGATCAAATTGCTAAACTTCATCTAAATTAATATCATCGAACATTTTCCTTTACTCACAATTAGGTATATAGACGGGGTATTTATGCCACAGGGGAGGCAGGAGAATGCTGCTCGTATTTTCATCAGTCGGCAACGTCGGCGGCAGGTACGGCAGGGGGTAGGAAGGTAAACGGAGAGGCGGAGAACAAGCCTTTGCCAAATTTTTGTTTATTTTCCTGCTTTTAATAAAACGAAAATACAATACCTACACAACGCCAGTGAGTTATACAAAGGCAAAAATTCGGTTTTGCGGACGGCATTATTTTAACATACGGAAGTTTATTTTTGCGTTACCTCCTCTTATTGTGTAATCGTATTTCAAGATTCCTGAAGGTACACCGTTATTTACTCGAATTGTTTGCTCGACAGTCGTGTTCAGCTTCCTTGTTCTATTTCAACTTAATTCTTTTATTTCCTTTTGAAGTTTATTTCCCCCTTTGGACTGAATGAATTCTAAATAATTCTTTTGTATCTGGAGTTTAAACAGTGTATCTGGAGTCTCCGTTGTTTTTATTAGATTGTGTTGAGAATTGATATTTATTTTTAAATGGAATGTAATACAAAATATTCATAATTAACCAATTACCTCTCCAGACACAACTAAATTTATTAAGAAAAATACGCTGTTGTACATATTTTTCTCTTAAGTACACATCAACAGGAAATGAGTCAGGCAGCCTTGATGGGTTTGCTCTTGTTCCGCCTCCCCGTCTCACAAACACCCATGTGGACGTTGCTCACCTAATCCACAAATCCAAAGCATCGTGGCGACACGTGATAAATTACACGCGAGCAAATTACGTGAAACGGGCTTCAGAAAAACAAACAATTTATTACGAAGACGAACGAGCAAGACCGCTGTCGCGGTGATTTTAATTATAACATGATAATACCCGCCAGGACTGATATCCTAACTTCGACTTCGGCGCGCGCGTTACTGCGTGGAGTCCATTCGAACAATAGTAGAAACATTACAAGTCACCACCTGTGCGATTGTTTCCCTTTCATTTATACAGTCAGAGGTTAATCTTAATTACGTGGTCTTATGAAGTTTATTTGCAATGATAAAATAATGACAATTATACCGAACATAAAGTTGTAAAGTTGCCTAAAATCAATTCACATTTTGAAGTGGTCTTATTTTAGAGCAAAACCATAACTAATGATTTCCTTCATGAATCTCCTTGATCAAAATGAGGTGGACGAGCCGCCCCTTTTAGATTTTTTTTCACCAAATAGAGAGGGTACCTAAACGATAAAGTAAATATCTACATTGACTTAAAAAAGGGTTACACCGTTTGAACAGAGGAATCGTTGAGGAAATCTAGCAGATAATTAACTCCAATTTGCAGTCACCCCCGGGGAGCGGGCTAAACTTGCTACCTCATTACATTAATTGCTTGTCGCTAAGGAGAATAACTATTAAAAATTCATTGTTTTCAGCTTTCCACCGTGTTTGCTCGGATAGCATTATTAATATTTAATTCTGCTGAGACGCCGCGCCTAATGCCCTAATTTAAAATTCTTACGAAACTTAATATTTGAGCGGGGCAGGCCCCCTAGGGATGTTCTGCCTACTGAGTTTATCGTTACGTTTTTGGTTATTCGCAGTTATTTTCATTACAAAGCTACGTAAACATAAGTAGAATAAAAGTTACAGAGTGCTGAAACGGCAATGGAACTTGTGCTAAGCGAGAATAGAGTGTGACTAAAGATACAAAGAAGGTGACCCGGTGAAGGGCTAGACTTGCACGCTCAGTGGTACATAAATTTTCCGTTGGTACCGCAACGGAGCCGCAGTAGCTAGAACGACCTCCGTACCTCGTACGTGCAGCGCTGCCAAATAAAATGTTAAACGAATCCTGCTAGTGTATCTACCTATTTCATTAAGATCGGAAACATAAAATGGTTTCTTCGGTAACGTATTATAATATGAATATAATATTCTATTTCATTTTGGTAATGGAAAATCCAAGTAAACATTTTTTGCTGAGGGTAAGGCTATATTTATTATTTGATTAGGTAGTTTCACTGGAAGCTCAAGTGTGTTCCCGGAGGCGTACAGGTGCGTCGTGTACTCATCTTCGCTAAAAAGGAGGCCTTGTTCTGGAGAGGGCTCGGGGCGACCGCAGTAAATACATCTCGACATTATGAAACCACCAATATTTGTCCGTTAGTCTTTTATTATCCACCAGCATAATTAAAAGAAAACGACGCGACGGAGGAAGTTTCTCGGAAAAATATACGAATTAATTGGCAAAATGTTTTTGCTTAGGTTTACAAAGTTTATTTTGTATTAATTAAAACGAGGGAGGCTTGAGATGTTCTATTGAAGGAAAATTCTTATTATTTTTATTCACTACGGTCTATACAGAACATTTGCCCCGCCTTTTACATTTTTATAACTCAAGAACCTTTACGTGTGAAATTCCAGTGAACGGTGTCAAATTAAATGTAGGGGACGTCGTCTGGGGCCGGGAGCACTCGGCACGGTAGGGTTAGATAGGAGTTACGAATCGAGGATTATTAACAGTCTCAACCGTGACGTGGTTGGGTATTTAACGTGTGAAACAAACACCCCGGCTTTGTTGCCATCGTAGATCGCAAGCTGTGTTTTCGCTGGAAGTACCTATACTCGTATATTAAATAATTAGCTAACGATACTTATTAACAATATAAAGTCGAACAAAGGTAAAGGTCGCGGGGGACCGCATCACGAAGCTAAAGTGGAGCTGAGCAGGGCACCTGATACGGAGACAAGATAACAGATGGAGTAAGATGACAACTGAGTGGTGTCCAAGGGCTGGATATAGGAACGTCCAGCGCCCAGCGGCTAAATGGGCAGACGACATCGCAGGAATTGGGGGGCCAACGTGGATGAGATTAGCACAGGATGGTGGGAAGTGGCATAGAAACTTGGAGGCCTAAACGCAGCAGTGGGTGAACTCAGGTGATAACAATACTCTAATATACTAAAGTTTCAAATATGATTTTAATTACATTAATTCTACATTTAAAGCATGAACACTCCGAAAGAAATTCCGCTCTTGCATAGATTGCTTTACGAAGTAAAGTGGATCTTAAGACTAAGTACTAGACAAATCATAGAGTGTACCACTCGGACCATTCTCACTTTAAAAGAAGTTTTAGGTAATCGTTTTCTCTATTGGTGTTATATATAACAAGAATGCCGCATGTTTGATTATATAGTATTTAGCACCAGTAGAGCCCTTTGTGAAAGAGTTCGTCCAGTGAATAACTGCCACCTTACCTATTTCTGCCGCCAAGCAGTAATGTGAGCGTTACTGCGTTCCGGTTTTGGAGGGTAAGTAAGGGTGTTGGTGAAATTACAGTCACATGGGACATGTTAACTCAAATATTTTCGATTTAAAGCTTTGAGTGGTACTGCAACTGTTGTGGACAGGTGTGTCCCTTTCCACCA